CTATAATCTAGTCACCGACTGCCAGCAGTTTGGCAGTTCAAATCTCACCGGGCTCAAGGTTGACTCAGCCTTCTATCCTTCCAAGGTGGGTAAAATGAGGATCCAGATTGTTGGGGGCAAGAGGCTGACTCTGTAAAACCCCTTAGAGAGGGCTATAAAGCACTGTGAAGTGGTATATAAGTCTAGGTGCTATTGCTAGTCCTTCCTTCCTTTATTCCTTCCTTCCTTCTTTCTTTCTCCCCTCCCTTCCTCCCCGCACAGTGGTTAGAATGCAATATTGTAGGCTAATTCTCCTAACTGGCAGCTGCCAGCAGTTTGAGTCTGACCGGCTCAAGGTTGACTCAGCCTTCCCTTTTTCCAAGGTGGATAAAATGAGGACCCAGATTATTGGTGGCAAGAGGCTGACTCTGTAAACCGCTTAGAGAGAGCTATAAAGCACTGCGAAGCGATATTTTAATCTAAGTGCTATTACTATTAAAAATAATCCACAGATTGAAATCTGCACCCTGTTTTCTCACAGACAACTGCAGCTGTGCTAGAACTCTCCATACCTTGCGGTGCCTATCGACTGGGCTTCCGCTAGCTCCATAGTGTTAACGAAGGAGACGGATTTCGCAGCCCCGTACGAGGGAGAATGCGGGATCCCACTGCTTGGAGATGAAGGAACTTGGTGGCTTGGCGATTTGTAGGAGCCGTTACTCATCCGGCTCTGCAGTGCCTGATGGGCTTGAATGTTGTTGTTGGCTAGGTCTGCTTGGAGAGAAGGTGTGGAAGTCCTTGACACTCGGGTCATAGCGCTGGAGAGGGAAGAAACGGACGTCTGCAAAGCCGGGTTGCGTGCGCTGAAGCTGCTATGGGGCATCAAATTGTCTCTGGAGCCGTATCTCAGGACTAAGCTACGGGGATCGTCCGAGAGCAGGCTGACTTGCTGAAGGCTGTAAGAACTCGGGGTGTCGTACACCCCCGAATCGGCAAACACGGAGTCTGGGTGAGAGTGCAGGAGCTTCTCTCTCTCCTCCATCTCTTTCCTTTCTTGGATAGACGCCATAATGGTTTTCGACAAGTTGTCGTAGCGGACCGGGGAAGGGTCGCGAGGGTGCGGGGCTGGCCCACCGGGGCTAAAGGTCTGGGGAGACTGGCGCTGGAGTTCCCTTCCCCGCAGATGGCACATTTTGGCAGACAAATATGGCGAGTGGTATCCGACGGAGCCCACTGCGGCATGCGCGACGCACCGCTTCCCGGCCGGGGAAATGGGGTTGAGCAAACTGTCGTAGGATAAGCTCCCGTTCCTGTTGGAGAGGGAATTGGGGGCAAAGATGCTTTTGTAGGGGGTCGAGGCTGCCCCTTCAGATTTCATGGGGTGGAGGGCCAGCTTTTCGGGGCCTCTCCGGGCACCCGTTTTCAGGCTGAGGGATCTGGAGTTGGAGGCAAAAGAATCGGCTTGGAGCGGAGAAGACTGATAGGTCTTGTGAAGGGAACTCTTCCGGTAGTTGGGGAGCTCCATGCTGGGCTCGGATTGATAATCCAGGCTGCTGTCGTTGTCATCGGCCAGGGAGCTTTGCCGGAGTCCTTCCTGGAGGGAGATCTGGGAGAAAAGAAGGAAGGGTCAGGTGGAGCTGCTGTCGGCCCTGATGGGTCAACCAGACAGGAAACACAACCAGATGGGCTAATTCGACTTTATTGTAAGGCTACCTTAATGGAATCTTGCAAGACTGAAAGTACAAATCTCTCATCGTCTCTTTTTTAGTCTGATAAGTTAGGGATGATCCTTTCTGAGTTTCTGTCTTTTCCCTTATGTAGCTGCAGGCTATGTCATCTCTTATCCGATTATTCCCTAGGCAATTCTCCCATATTCCCAGTTTATTCCTTCATACCACTACATCAGCGGAGACAAGATATTTCTTTCTCCCTCTCTCTCTCTCTGTCGCTGACTCTCTCTCTCTTTTGTCTGTGTCTTTGACTCTGTATCTTTCTCTCTCTCTCTGTACCTGTCTATTTTGTCTGTCTGCCTGCCTGTCTGTCTGTCTGTCTGTCTCTCTCTCTCTCTCTTTGTCCGACTCTCTCTCTCTCTCTTTTATTTCTGTGTGTCTCTGCCACTATCTCTTTTCTCTCTCTCTCTCTCTCCCTCTCTCTCTCCCTCTCTCTCTCTCTGTGTCTCTGTCTCTCTCTCTTTTATCTCTCTCTCTGGGGATCTGTCTGTCTCTCTCACTGTCTTTCCCTCTCTCTCTCTCTGTCTTTCTGTTTGTCTCTCTCTCTCTGTCTCTGACTCTCTCTGACTCCGTCTCTCTCTTTTGTCTCTCTCTCTCTGGGGATCTGTGTGTCTCTGTCTCTGTCTTTCTTTCTGTTTGTCTCTCTCTCCAACTCTCTCTTTCTCTGTCTCTCTCTGTGTCCATGCCTCTCCCTCTTTTATCTCTCTCTCTCTCTGTCTGTGTGTCCTTCTTTCTGTTGTCTCTCTCTCTGTCTCTGACTCTCTCTCTCTTGTCTTTGTGTGTCTGTCTTTCTTTCTGTCTCTGACTCTCTCTGACTCTGTCTCTCTCTTTTCTCTCTCTTTTCTCTCTCTCTCTCTCTCTCTCTGGGGATCTGTCTGTCTGTCTGTCTCTCTGTCTTTCTTTCTGTTTGCCTCTCTCTCCATCTCTCTCTTTCTGTCTGTCTCTCTCTCTCTCTCATTCACTCATCCAAGGAACAAATCCCTGAAAAACAGATTAATGAGCCAGTATATAGCTTTCTTAAAAAGGTCTTTTTATTGGTGCTGTAGTTTCATTGTTCAAAATGACAAAGAATGATGATTAAAGGTTTGCTTCTGGAGAGGAAAAGGAGTAATAACCATAGCACAGCACAAAAAAACCCACAACACAACATCCCTTTCAGACACATTATGTAAAAACCTGGTTGAGAAACACTGTCCGATCTGCTACCATTCCATTCTATATTTTTTTTTGACCCCAGGAAGAGGCAATTTCGTAGAAAGAAAACATTGCAAGTTGGTTTGAAGTTGGCCATTTTTTTTTTCATTCGGTCAAACCTGAGATTCAACCTGCAACCATGCCACCTTACCTGCTCAGATGTTCCATGGTAGTGGACTTTAGAGTTGCTGCTGAAAGCAGGGCGATATTTGTACATGGCAGGTGTGGAAGGGCTGATCAGCTTGGGAGAAAGGCTGCTCTCTGGAAAACAAAAGAGAAAACAAGCCATGGTTTATGGCATGCCCAAACCATGATTGGGTTTCACATAACCTATATCATATAAATGACTTGCTTACGGCTTAGCAAACTCTGTAAATCCAGCTACCGAATTTTTCAAATCTTAGCTTATGGCTTAGGGCAAGGGCCAGCCACCGGTGGCTCTGGAGCCGCATGTGGCTTTTTCATCCCACTGCTGTGGCTCCCTGTCGCCAGTCGGCACCACAATTTTGAAAGGAGCTTCCAGTTGTTTTTTGGGGGGGAGCAGGGCACTCCAGGAGGAGACTCTATGGCAAGGGGCGGGGTTTTCTGGTCAGCTCCACAATTGATAGGGCTTTCGGTTAGGGCAGGTAGAGCAAAAAGGATGGTGCACTAGGAGGAGACTCTATAGTGGGGGAACCGGACTTCCAGTCGGCAGAGGAGAAAGGATGCCGCACTAGGAGGAGACTCTATGGTGGGGGAACCGGACTTTCGATCGGCTCCAGAATTGAACAGGCAGGGGCTTCCGATTAGGACCTTTGTGGCTCTTTGAGTGGTTTAAGGTTGCCGTCCCCTGGCTTAGGATGTTACATGCGCCCAGTTAATGATGGCTTAACAAACTATGGCTTAGTTTCTATGAATCCAGTAGTTTCTGCATCACGGGCTCAAGCCGTCATGAATTTTTCACCAGAAAGAACGTTTTAAAAGAGAAAAATCCATACGTTCACTTGATTTAAAAAAATAAATAAATAAAAGATCCAATCTTGTACCTTCGGTGCTTCCCAGTTCGCTGTATTTACTGGAATCCCCTTTGGGTGGAAGTGGAGGCTGCATATCCATGGTATTTTCATCCAGCGCTTCTAGACTAATTTTAGACTGAAAACAATCACAAAACAAAGTTAAGCATTGCCCAGCAGTCTATCCTAACCCTTAAATCATGCATCCCCTCCCCCCCAGATGCCTCTACACATTGTGCAGGGTAACAGCGGCCTTCACACATTGTGTTAAACTGCAGCATTGTTTGTTCCATTTGAGTTTAGCCAGCGCATGAAAACAGCCACATTTGTTTTGCTCATCCTGGTTTATGGCTTAATAGGTTCTCTGAACCCATCTAGTTGAGACTTGTTCAACAAACTATGGTTAAACAAAGCATTGCTTAATGTAGTCTAAAGATGCTTTGCTAGGAGCCAGTTTGGTCTAAGTGGGTAAAGCATCAGGCTAGAAGCCAGGCCATGAGTTCTAATCCTGCCTTAGTGATGAAAGCCAACTGGATGACTTTGAGCCAATCACCAGGAGACTGGGAGTTCTAGTCCCGCTTTAGGCATGAAAGACAGCTGGGTGACTTTGGGCTACTCACCAGGAGATGGTGAGTTCTAGTCTTGCTTAGTTATGAAAACTGACTGGGTGATTTTGGGCCAATAATCGGGAGACTGGGAGTTTTAGTCTTGCCTTAGGCATGAAAGATGGACTTTGGGCTAATCACCGGGAGACTGGAAGTTCTAGTTTCACCTTAGGCATCAAAGCCAACTGGGTGACTTTGGGCCAATCACCAGGAGATGGTGAGTTCTAATCTTGCTTTGTCATGAAAGCCGACTGGGTGACTTTGGGCCAATCACCAGGAGACTGGGAGTTCTAATCCCGCCTTAGCCATGAAAGCCGGCTAGATGACCTTGGCCCAATCCCTCCCTCTCAACTCACCTGATCTCACCAGGTTATTGTTGTGGGGAACATGGGAGAAGGAAGGACTGTTATGTATGTTGGGCACCTTGAGCTCTTTATAAAACCGATAAAGGCAGGATACAAAGAAATAAATATAAATAATTAGACAAATTATTGTGCACCTAGAATTTTTGCTTTGCAGGGATGGAAACCTGAAATAAGCAACTAACTTTCATTTCAGCCTGGCTGGACTGGATTCACCTATCATGCTAGGCCATAATTTAGCTTGTCTGGCTTTGGCCCAACATGTTGTACAAATGCAGCCGTGACCCGACAAATGCACGCCGACAAAACCGCGCCCACAAAAGCGCGATTAGGGTTAGGGTTAGGGTTATAACGTTGTTTTCGCGTCCCACTATGTTGTTTGTGGATGGCACGCTTTTTGTGGGCACGGTTTTGTCGGCGCAGTTTTGTCAGTGCGCATTTGTCGGGCGCACATTTTTGGGTGAACCAAATCCAGCTAGTGAAAGTTATTCATATTCGTATTCATAAAAGCCTGTTTTATGAATTCAGCCCATCGTGGATAAGTTTTATGGAACTCTTCCACCAGGAAAACATGGAAACAGATCTCTATATGGGTGGATCGTAGGTAGAAGATAGCTCTTACGGAATGCTTCACCTTGCTCTGGTTGAGGTTGGCTTGAACACCGTTGTCACTTATTTTGACTGTGATCTGTCGCTCCTTTAGCTCCGGCCTCAGGAAAGGGGGCTTCACGCTTGCCATCTCCTTCTTCTTGGGATCCACAATGTACCTGCAAGATCACGGGACCTTGAAACGTATGCTTTTCATAAAAAGATACCCCCTCATGAGTGCTGCAGACCCTCAATGACTTGGGTGAAGGTCTGCAAGTGGCTTACACAAAGGAACAATTAATGAGCAACTAAGAGAGGAGGTTAAGAGGTGCTTCTAAAGAAATAAATATATATAGCAGCAAAACGAATCATCTACAAGGAGGGATCAACTGAAAAAAACAACAACGCCATTTTGGTGTGAAAGGCCACAGGCAAAGGCTTCACGGGGGGATGAAGTCATGTGATAGTAGCGTCTACAATTTCCTGCGTTAGATGAGGAGAGCACATCTTTCTCCTTCTGCCCTGGCAACTTTTGACCGAGGCACGATAGAGAGCATTTTAACAAACTGCATCACTGTTTGGTTTGGTGGCAGCAGTGCCTCAGATAGAAAGTCCCTACAGAGAGTGATAAGGACAGCAGAGAAGATCAAAGCATTGTTAGAGACCCCACACATTCACTTTATGGTCTGTTTCTGCTGCTCCCCTCTGGGGGGAAGTTTTGAAATATTTCTAGCAGGGACTACCAGATTGTGTAACAGCTTTGTTCCTTATGCTATCCGTCACATGATTTGTTTTTCTCACCATGTACATGTATACATCCAAACTAGACTGTATTGTTTCTCTGTGTCATATAACTTATGTGGGTATATGGATGGATGTGTGCGTGTGTGCGTGTGTGTGTGTGTGTGTGTGTATGTATGAATTTATTATTAATTTATTTATTTATTTAGTCATGTTCATGTAGTGAATATTGGAGTTGGTGACACTTTGAGAGCTGTTGCATGGAAATTTCATTTTAATGTATGCCGATTAGTGTACATTCAAAGTGACAATAAAATTATTCTATTCTATTCTATTCGGCTCTATTCTACTCTATTCTTCTACTCTACTCTACTCTACTCTACTCTTCTACTCTACTCTACTCTACTCTACTCTACTCTACTCTTCTACTCTACTCTATGTTAACACACCAAGGGGTTAAAATCTGCATCTATCATTTGTACAGATTCAAAATATAATCAATAAATCAGTGAGGACCAGCTTGTCCAGTCCCCAAGCTCTCATCCCCACAAACCCAGCATTGGGGTTAATGATCAATCTTCTGTACTTCTTCTTAGATCTCACCTAGGAGCCAGGGGGCTACAGAGGACATGTTCCACGTTCCCGCAGCATCCTTGAGTAAAAGGATTGACTCCTCCACGGAACTTACCCGTTACCTGGAATTAAAAACAAGGAGGGCAGTTTGAAAAAGGAAGAGCTGAGAAAGACCTTGGGAGATGGAGGGAGGAGAGATGCTGCCTATGGAACCATCAGATAAGAGGCAGCATAGCCCACAGCTGGATAGTGGATGGGGCAAGAGACTCAGAAGGGACCCTCCCTAATTTCCTGGGCTGTAAAAGAGAAGGAGGGAGGGGGAGAGGATTGTACAGGTATTTCTGGACTTAGGACTACAATGGAGCCCGACATTTATGTTGTTAAGCGAGACAGTTGTTATTTGCTGCAACTTCATTTAATGATCATTTAGTGAAAAAAAGTGAGCTATGACCATGTTTCACACTTATGATCATTGCAGCATCCCCATGGTCGCATGACCAAAATTCGGAATGCTTGTCAATTCACTCACCTTTATGACGGTTGCAGTGCCCCAGGATCGCATGATCCCTTTTGCGACCTTCTAGCAGACAATGTGAATGGGGAAGCCAGATTCACTTAACAACCGTGGGACTGACTTAAGAATCGCAACAATTCACTTAACAAATGTGGCAAAGAAAAGTCGTAAAATGGAGCCAAAACTCACTTAACAAATGTCACACTTTAGCCACAGAAATTTTGTGCTCAATTGTGGTCGGAACTCAAGGACAGGTGGCTCAGTGGCTAAGACGCTGAGCTTGTCGATCAGAAAGGTTGGCAGTTCGGCAGTTCGCATCCCTAGCGCCACGTAACGGAGTGAGCTCCCTTATTGTCCCAGCTTCTGCCAACCTAGCAGTTTGAAAGCACGTAGAAAATGCAAATAGAAAAATATGAACCACCTTTGGTGGGAAGGGAGCAGTGTTCCGTGCGCCTTCGGAATTGAGTCATGTCAGCCACATGACCACGGAGACGAGGTGGCGCAGTGGTTAAATGCAGCACTGCAGGCTACTTCAGTTGACTGCAGTTCTGCAGTTCGGCTGTTCAAATCTCA